TTTAGAGGCACTCTGAATCCAGTGGCGTAGTGATTTTTTCAATAAAAAAATCGCTAATAAAAAATCCCGATTTTCGACTAAGAAAAAATACCGTAGTATGCCCTGAAACTTTAATAAACATTTTAAATTTTGTCCCAAGGTAGACCTTTTAGTACTTGACATTTCAAAAAAAAATTATTAAAATCGGTTTACAACTTCAAATTTTAGAGGGGTGTTTCCGTTAAAAATGGGTCACACTGTATGTTTGAAATATGTTTTTCCCGTTAACCAGCTATCGCACCCCTACAAACGACAACTCTCGGAAGTCGAAACTTGTGCCAGTTAAGGACTAACTAGGTCTTATCTTTTAACGTGTGATTCCTAACACGAGTTGGACGATAGCAAGTGAAAATCGAGCGTTCAGCCTGCGGTTTGAACCACCGACTCACATCGGTCGATTGACTGAACAAAGCACCCACGTCGAACCGCCCGGCTACCGATGAAAGAATAAAATATTAAAATCACTAGAACCGAAATATTTGGAAGAACTAGTTTTGAAATGATATTTGAATTTCAAGAAATCTACATTTATTTTTGTTGATGAAAAGCCTTGTAAGACAACAAATGCCAGTTTAGTGTTGAGACACAACAAAATTGAAACGTCCACTGGTGTTCATCCTCCATCCTGTCCTTTCCAGGAAGGTAAAAAGGTCACTAGGAGACATCTCCTTTATATTGACAGGTGTAAGCCAAGACTCGCCGAGCACACACTCTCTTTGGCAACCTTGAGGTGTCTCACGGTGGCCTCCACGAAGATTTTGGAAGGTGCAGCGATATTACTGTCGTTGCGCGGCTTCTTTAACCTTCTTGGGGCTCCCTCCGTGGTGGTGCACAAGTGAGGGGGCTTTCCCGCAGGGGCAGCCGGTTCCTTGCCTTTATTCAAAGCGGAGCTTTTGGCGCCCGCCGCAGGTAGTGCCCTTGCTGTTGGAGGTGATCTGCTATGTCCAGCCTCATTCCAAGCGGTAGATTGGAGCGGACATTTCTGTTCATCCATAGCCACCGCCTTAGATTAAGGTGAGCACTTCTGTCCAGCCTCGAGATTGGTTTTTGTTTTTGTTGTTCCTTTTTTGTGTTATTTCATTCATGTGTGTTCCCATGAGTAGCAAGGGAAGAGTTGGTCACCTCTGGAAGAGCCCCGCATTACCAGAGGTAGGCTGATTATATTGGGGTTTCGCCCAGTTCCCCAAGGGGATCGTTCGTTATCACCCTGCGGCCATTCAGCTGTAGGCACGATTCCTTACACCTTAGCGTGGGTAGGGCTGGTCCACGGTGGCATGTTTTGCAAAGGCTTTTGGGGAGTTTGAGTTCCCCTCACCCTACTTATTTCTGCTACTGACCAGGAGTCCGGCGACCCTATCCGTAAGGCCACATTGGCTTCTCGGACAGGGCCTCCAGTCTCCTGTTTATAAATCAAAAGTATGCACAATTCTGCAGCCTATTAAAATAAATAAAGAACATTCCATTACGAAATTTATAGAACATAGAAATGTACATAATCATCAAACAAGATATATATAGCTCAATAATCTGTTAACAAAAAGTCTCAAATATATATTTCCCAAAAAAATAATTAACTACAAAGAATTACCAATTGACATTCAACAATACAAACATTTTTGCAATGCATTAATTTACATTATCATATTTGCTTGTTTTCGTTATCAATTAGATTAATTCTCAAAGGCGATTATGTATCTAAGAATTGAAATTTCATGAAATAGCTCGCTTTGCAATCATTCTTTTTTTTTTTTTCATCGCTATCTCTTTATTCATAATTTGGTACTCGCTCATTCATTTATTTTCTTGTTACAAAATTTAAGTAAGGAAATTGGAAGAGACAAATCGTGATTCAGAGGCTAACGTAAATAATTGGTTTACATTTTGTTGTTTTCTATAAAAAAATACCTGTTTTGTGCTGATACAAAAAGTTTCCACAACAGTTACAGCATATCTACTAAATATTTTCGTGTATGTTTGTGACACTGTCTCATTTTATTTTCAACCAAAATGTATCCAAATCGACAGACTTGAATTAAAGAAGAAACATTTCCATCATATAATTCCCGCTGATTTCCACTGGTTACCAAACTTGTCTCATAAAAAACTACATTTATAAAGTATTAATTACCCACCTTAGCCCAGTACTATGTGATAGTTCTTGCACTGAAAAATTATGTTTTTTTTTTCAAATATAAGTATTCATATCCTATTTTGAACAAACGGGACGACATGAGGTTCCAATATCTCGTCATGTGGCGGAGAGCCGTTAAAGTCCCTTCCCGAAATACCACAAGGTCCGTGTGTCGTGTCAAAGTTATACCAGCCCATACCATTATCGATCCACCTCCAAATGGAACAATTTCTTGCACACAGTCATCCAAATAGCGTTCACCGGGACGTCTCATTACCCGAACACGTCCTTCATTGTTAAATAACATGAATTTTTTTCATCTGTAAACATTACATTGGCCCACTGCACTAAATTCCAATTACGATGCTCTTGACAAAAGTTTCTACGATTTCCTCGATGAGCTTGGGTTAATCTAGGGGCTCTAGCAGGTCGTCTTGCATGGAGTTGTACTTCGTGAAGTCGATTTCGTATGGTTTGGTTCGAAATCCCGTTCCCGTAGCTTCTATAAGGCGACTACTCAATGCCACTACTCTAGCAATTTGAAATTCGTTGAGGTACACCCTACGTATCCTCCTTCTACCCAATACATCAACACTCATTGTATAAATTTTAAAATTTAATACCTATCACGAACAAAGTAATTTTTCATACTAATGATTTTGTAGCTAAAAGTACAAAAAGAAGTAAAAAAGTGAACAACTGAATGGAACATGATAAGAATTAGTATGGAGTACACACCAGAAGTTTTTATCATGAAATAATACATATTTTTTACTTATTAGATATTCATTTTGAGTAGTTTATATGGAATCGATTGTTTATTGGTAGATGAGTACAACGTTCTGCTTGCTGAATATATGTCTTTTGCTAAGTTTTTCAGAAAAATTACATAATTTCTAAGCACATAAGCAATATTGATGTTTCATGTTTGAATAATTATTTATACCTACACATTTTCATAACTATGAATGATAGCTTGTAGTTTTTTTAACATTGATTAAGTGAGTAGGAGTTACGTCAGTTCAGCGAGACAGTGACGTCATCCAAGCCTACCAGTCACGTGGCGCGTTGTCCTCAACCAGACGTCCACCTCAATCCTGCCACAGACATGACGTCACAACCAAGTTGAATCAACTGAGAAACTTGAATTAATCATACATGAGATTAAAAAAGCTATTTGAATATACCGAGAAACAGACATATTGATGTAATGACCTTCCTGTATAATTTTGACAATGCCGAGCGGAATGCTATGTGTGCAGGAAAAGGAGGAGTTACTAAAAATTATGGCAAGGAGTCTCGAGCTATCATAACTCTATTTTCATGTCGTCGAAGCATTCAGTAACATTTTCAAACGTAATGAATGTCAATGCAGTATCCGTTTCAATATTATATAATTCATCAAACTTCTTGTTGTAACAGCAGAACATATATTTTAATTTTGAAAATGACCTTGACGAAACTTACGGAATTTCTATGGTACTTTCAATTCCCCCTGCAACTTCACTGATTATGAAACGTTTCAGTTTTTTCGTGAACGTCAGTGCTTCTTCTAATCCTCCTTTCAGATATAAGGAAACTATTCCACTATGACCACTTGTTTGTTTCTTGAATAATTCATGTTGAGGGTGACTTCGCAGGCCTAAAAATGTTATTTAAAATTCAGTTGGATTGTTTAAGTTGAAAACACTTCAGTGTAGTGCCATCTTTTATTTGTATTTATGTGTAAAAGCCACATGATTTTTATTTATTTTATTTTAATTGTTGCAATAAACTTGAAAGCGATGATAACATTTTTGAATAGAGAATGAAGAGACCTTTCCAAATATATATTACAAACCTATACTTCCCATTTAAAAATTGGGGGTTGTACCTGTCACTCGAAGGGGGTTGAAGGTAGGGGTGGTATTATACGTTGAAGAATGTCAAATTATAATTTACATTGGAGGTGTTTCAGGATTTTTTTAAATATGCACACTAACCGAAATAATGAATTTATTCCATTTGGCTTTTACTTACTGTATAAAGCAGGAGATAATAAATTACAAAATCATCGAAAGTATTTGAAAAAATATTAAAAATGAGAATTCATGAATATCTTGCC